TTGCTACCAGGGGATCAGAATCTCTGAGTTGAACTTCCCAGCACTGGAGACAGGTTAACCCTGACTGTGCCGGACTCTGGTCCCTTTTCTGGTGAATGGTCATTTCCTGAGGCAGAAGTAGTGTAGTTATCACCCATGTCTTTTTCTTGGGGAGTTTATTTATTTATTTTGACAGTGCTGGGATTTGAATTCAGGGCTTCCTGCTTGTTATGCAACACTGTATAACAAATGTCTTTCATTTACTAAGATAAACACACCAAGCATTTATTTGAAACATGAAAACGGTAAGAAGAAAGTAGTGGTTTATTTTGGTAAACAAATGCCTCTTCTGACATCAACAAGGAAGTAGAAATCACTTCTGACTTATATTACTGTCCTGCCCCTGAAAAATATTTTTAGTCACACAAATTACTAAATACCACAGTATGTACTTTGCCAGAAATAAGGGCTGATAAGCACTTGAAACTAGAGTGTGATTGCTACTTGGAGGAAGAGACTTAGATGGGCAAGGAACCTCCTGCTGGGTACAGGCACGTGTACACAGTCATGGTGGCAAATCACCAGTGAGAGGATCTACATACTCAAAAATGTTTGAATGTTGTGGAAATATGGACATCTGTCTTCCAGTTCTTCAGGTCTCCTGTTCTTCCTTCAATTTTAAATTGTTATTATAAAGTGATGTACAGAGAGGGTTACAGTTAGATAAGTCAGGTAATGAATACACTTCGTTTAAGATGTGTTCTTTTTTTTTTTTGGCAGTTGTAGGGCTTGAACTCAGGGTCTAGGCGTTGTCCCCAAGCCACATTGCGCTCAAGGCTAGCACTATTCCACTCCAGCACCACTTCCGGTTTTTGAGTGGTTAATTGGAAGAATTCCATGGAGACTTTTCTGCCCTAGCTGGCTTTGAACCTTGATCCTCAGATCTCAGCCTCTTGAGTAGCTAGGATTACAGTCCTGCACTCAGCTAAGCTCTGTTTTTTTTTTTTTTGTGTGTGTGTGTGCCAGTTCTAGGGCTTGAACTCAGAGCCTGGGCACTGTCCCTGAGCTTCTTGTGTTCAAGACTAGCACTCTACCACTTGAGGTACAGCACTACTTCCGGTTTTTTCTGTTTATGTGATACTCAGGAATCAAACCCAGGGCTTCATGCATGCTAGGCAAGCACTCTACCACATTCCCAGTCCTAAGCTGTGTTCTTAACCAAGACAACTTTTGGCGCTTATGAAGGGAATTGGAGGGAATTGGAGGGAGGGAGGAGGGTTATTGTTAACAGCTGAACTACGGGCAGATTAAATATATTGTTAGCAGTTTGAAATCATCTCCCCCCCAAAATGATGACATGATGAGGCCTTACCTTTAGTACTTTGTAATCATATGAAATGGTATATAGGTTAAATACCACAACATCCCGCTCAGCACCTTCTGAGTGACCTATTGATTATGACAAACTAATTTAGCAGTAGGAGCACCATGGATGAGTATTTTTTTAAATAAACCTCTTGTGTATATTGGACTTTTAAGTACTTACATATCTTTCTGAATTAAGCTATGATTTAACACGGGGATTAAAAGCTAGATGGAGGTCAATGGTTAAAAGGTAACTATTGCAAATCAAGTAGGTTGTCAGGCCACATCCATTCACTTGTATTCAAGGGTATTTAAGAAAGGGACTCACAAACAATGGGCAGGTACCCTCGGATAAATGGGCTCAAGTAGAGAGCTCTGTTTTGGAAGAAGCGGAGTTCTTTCCAAAGTGAAACCTTCCAATTATGTTCTCTGCCACCAGTTTTAACTCTTCCTGCTTTTGTCTCAAGAATTATTCCTATGATTCCTTCATTTTTTGTCAGTCATGGAGCTTGAACTCTGAGTTTGGGCGCTGTCCCAGAGCTCTTCAGCTCCAGGCAAGTGCCTGCCACTTTAGCCACAGCACCACTTCTGGTATTCTGGAGATAAGAGTCTCAAGGGCTTTCCTGCACAGGCTGGCTTTAAACTGTGATCCTCAGACCTCAGCCTCCTACTAAGTAGCTAGGATTACAGGTGTGAGCCACTGGTGCCCCACTGCTCCCCTCCTCTTTTATTTTTATTTTATTTATTTATTTTTGGGGGTCCGGTCGTGGGGCCTGAACTCTGGGCCTGGGCACGGTCCTTCAGCTCTTCAGCTCAAGGCTAGTGCTCTACCACTTGAGCCACAGCGCCACTTCTGGCTTTTTTTTCTTTTTGCTTATGTGGTGCTGAGGAATTGAACCCAGGGCCTCAGGCATGCAAGGCAAGTGCTCTACCACTGAGCCACCTTCCCAGCCCCCCCCTCTTTTAATATCCCTTCACAAATCAACTTCATACATCTTAAAACACATTATTATGTATGTATTTTTTTGTAAGTACTATGTTTTAACTTGGGACCTCCTGCTTTGCTAGGCAGGCACTCATCACTTGAGCCATGTCCCTAGTCTTTAGTTTTTCTCGTATTGGGACTTGAACTCAGGACTTCATGCCCTCTTTAGGCATTTTCTGCTTTTTGCTGGTTAATTGAAGGTAAGAATCGAATTTGTCTGCCCAGGCTGGCTTTGAACATCAGTCCTCAGATCTCAGCCTCTTGAGTAGCTACGATTACAGGTGTGAGCCACCACTACGTGGCTCTCCAGACCTGACTTTAAAGACATTGACAGTTACTACTAACACTGCAGAACTTTTTCCAGGTGCTGGAGACTGTATTCAGAGCTTTATAGGTATCATCTCTGATTAATCTGCCAAGTCCTTTTTTTTTGTGGGTATGCTGGTACTAGGGCTTGAACTCAGAACCCAGACACTGTCCCTGAGGGTTTTTTTTCCTCAGAGTTAACACTCTATCAGTTTAGTCACTTCTCCACTTCCAGATATTTTGGTGGTTAATTGCAGATGAGAGTTCCACAGACTTTCCTGCCTGGGCTGGCTTTGAACCACAATCCTTACATCTCAGTCTCCTCAGTAGCTAGGATTTAGGCTTGAACCCACCTGTGCCTCACTACTAAGTACTTTTTAAAGATTGTAGTGCTGGAAATTGAATTGAAGGCCTCACACATGCTACACAGTGCTTGACCACACCAAAACACTAATAGTACCCCTAGTAGTACTTTTTGTTAAGTATCTTTACCTCTTACAACCACAGTATGATGTTGCTACTGTTATTATCTGTGTGTGTGTGTGTGTATGTGTGTGTGTGTGTGTGTGTGTGTGTGTGTGTGTGTGTGTGCCTGCCTGTACTGCGGTTTGAACTCAGGGCCTGAACACTGTCCCTGATACTTCTTTTTTTTGGGGGGGGTCCGGTCATGGGGCCTGAACTCTGGGCCTGGGCGCTGTCCCTCAGCTCTTCAGCTCAAGGCTAGCACTCTACCACTTGAGCCACAGCACCACTTCCGGCTTTTTCTTTTTGCTTATGTGGTGCTGAGGAATTGAACCCAGGGCCTCAGGCATGCAAGGCAAGCGCTCTACCACTGAGCCACCTTCCCAGTCCTCCCTAATACCTTTTGCTAAAGGCTAGCAGTCTACTACTTGAGCCATAGGTCCAGTTATGGCTTTTTTTTTTAAATTGTGAAAATACCGTACACAGGGGTTACAATTACATGGGCAAGGTAATGAGTACATTTCTTTTTTTTAATTTTAATTTTTTATTGTGAACATACTGTACAGATGGGTTACAATTACGTGGGCAAGATAATGAGTACATTTCTTATCAAGCATTGCAGCCTCCTCCTTTGTTTACCCTTCACATCCCTTCCCATCTCCCTCCCCCACCCCCCTCACCCTGGGCCAAAGTTGTAAAGTTCGTTTTTCCACATAATTTCTTTTCTTTTTTGGGGGGGGGTCCGGTCGTGGGGCCTGAACTCTGGGCCTGGGCGCTGTCACTCAGCTCTTCAGCTCAAGGCTAGCGCTCTACCACTTGAGCCACAGCGCCACTTCCGGCTTTTTCCTTTTTGCTTATGTGGTGCTGAGGAATAGAACCCAGAGCCTTGAGCATTCAAGGCAAGCGCTCTACCACTGAGCCATCTTTTCAGCTCCCACATAATTTCTTGTACATCTTATTGTTGCAATTTTGTAACTAATTGGAGGTTAGAATCTCATGGGCAGGCCCAGACTGGGTCTTGTGAACCACAATTCTCAGATCTCAGCTTCCTGAGTAGGTAGGATTATAGGTATGAGCCATTGGCACCTGTTTTAAAGGTGATATAAAAACAAAGTTTGCTGAATGGTTAACCTGACTGAATCTACCTATCTACTTTGTCCAATCCAGGTCTTTTGATTCTAGGGTCTACATTCCTGACAGTTCAGAGTTCTCATTTAGCCCTACTGTGTGCTATCTCCATCATCTTTCTTTTTTTTTTCTGTCTCAGTCTCCCTGACTGTCAGTGCATGCATCAAAGGCACCTCCTTGGCGTCTACAGTTCTACATACTCCTCTGAGTCACCAGAATTGTGTCTTGCTTTCCTCAGCTCTTCAGGCTAGCACTCTACCACTTGAGCCACAGCACCACTTCCGGCTTTTTCTGCTTATGTGGTGCTGAGGGCCTCATGTATGCAAAGCAAGCACTCTACTGCTGAGCCACCTTTCCAGCCCACTTGACCCATTTTTTATGGCCTGGTGTCAACCCTCCTTGCTCTGGGAAGCCTTTTCTGAGCCCTCAGGAGGAACCAATAATTTTGTATTAATTACTCACTTTTTTATTTTTTGTTGGTTGTGGGGCTTGAACTCTGGGCCTAGGTGCTTTCCCTCAGCTCTTCAGTGCAAGGCAAGTGCTCTACCACTTGAGCCACAGTGCCACTTCTAGTTTTCTGGTGGTTTATTGGAGATCAGGGTCTCACGGACTTCTCTGCCAGGGCTGGCTTTGAACCTCGATCCTCAGATCTCAGCCCTCTTAGTAGCTAGGATTACAGATGTGAGCCAGGCTAATTACTCACATTTTATTATGTCCACCTTCAGTCTATTCAGCTAGGATGTAACCCTTGTAACCCCTTCAGTACAAGTACGACATGGTGCTGTACATTAACCTTTGTAACCCCTTCAGTACAAGTACGACATGGTGCTGTACATACAGTAAGCCCTTACTAAGTGTTGGTTGGTTGATTGCTATTGGTTGGGAGGGAAAGAGATTGCCTGTAGACATGTTATCATGTGAGGTAAATCCTTTCCTGAAGGACAAATATTTTCCTCATCTCTTTATTTTGGGACCTTATAACTCTGCCTTGAATGCTGAAGAGGCCCTCTGTACAAAATGTCTGTTCTGTGCCAGCACTGTCCCAAGTGCTGTGTTCCATAAGGATTTATAAGTAAACTAACGTTTTTGCAAGTTATTTCTCATTTTTTCAGCCCTTCAGTGGGTAAATTAGTGTGTGTCTTTGCTTCACAGGCAAAGAGGAGAGCCCTAATGCATGGCCTAAGACTCTCAGGGTAGATCTCTTTTCGGAACCAAGACTGCTTCTCTGGTGTGCCAGAAAACCACCAGATTGGTCTCAGCCATTTGGGGGGATAGCATGTAAGGGGAATTTCACCCATGTGATTGCCAAGAAGTATCCAAGAGGACAAAAATTTGAGGAAAAAACAAAGCCATCTTGGATTGTTTGATGGTTCTTGGCAGGAAAGGTAATATCAAGTTAATGTCCTTTTTTTCTCTGGTGAGTTTGAATCTCTGGATTGGTTGCATGTTGCTAACCTATCTAATGTGGCATTTCCATGGCTCTGGAAGGCACCTGAGGTCAGATACATAGGGCAAATGGGAATATCTGAAGGATATTGATAGAACTGCTTTGGGATGGCAGAAAACATTCTCCTTGTCTTTGATGTGTTTGTCAGAAAGGAGATATTATACTAGGACCTCATCTCTAAAACAGGCCCATGCTAACATCCAAGGATTCAGAATGATATGAGTAGATTAGAAATGAATAGTCCCATTGCAGCCGTACAAAAACAAATATGCCTCATTTTATGCAACAAACACATTTTCTAAATCAAATTACATGTTAAAAGCATTAGGGAGGTGAGCTATTTAAAGGAACCCGACAGTGAAGCTTTAAAAAATATGATTAATTACCATCTGATAAATGTGGATTTTTCTTATATTAGGTTTGCCCATCTGCTGTGCTTTGTTAAGTAGATGCCACCAAAATGGGCTGTTCTCCCAGACTTCATCTCCCTTGGGGCTTGAGAGTTGGGTCTTCTGAATAATAAGTGAAGCACCAGAGAAAGTGGTGACAAGCAGTGCTTATGCATAGTAGGTACTCAATGCAAATTTCAATAAATAATGAAGTGCCTGAATTATTTTCTTCAAGGCTAGCTGATTTTGTGATACCACTCTGGAAGCTGAGCTATGAAGAGCAACTCAAGGTAGGTGCCCAGCTTTATTCTTCCTCCTTTTCCTCCCAGCAGTGGGATGGCATGCGAGTCAAGCCTGACTGCACTGTTCTACACAGATGCTCCACAGGTATTTAAATTTGCTATGCAAATTACTCTGAAATGTGAGCTTTAGGTCAGATATGTATCCTAGATCTATAGATTCAGATGCAGATTTCTTTGTTCTTATACCCTTTATCATTCTTATAGCTCTGTGTGTGTGTGTGTGTGTGTGTGTGTGTGTGTGTGTGTGTGTGTGTAAGTTGCAGTGTTCTTGTACATTCCAACATGGCAGTGTTCTTGCCATTCTGACATAGGAGCCAGTAGTTGCATGTGGCTGTTTAAATTTAAAAAGTCACTTCTGCCACACTTGCTTTGAAAACAAATTTATTCCAACTAATTGACATATCAGGGAACAGTCTGGGCCTAATGCAGATATCACATTTGCCTAAGCATGATTTTTGTCCAGGCGAGGTACTGGAAGAAAGAAGCAAAGTGCATCCAGCTGAACCAGGCTATGTAAGAATACATAAAATATACACATGTACATAACCTCAAATATCTGTCCCTCCCTTAGTTCCATGAGCTACACCCATTGGCCTCTGGTGTTAGTCTATTCCATCCAACTAATATTTTTACCACCTCATAGTAACTCAAAAGTGGTGAGCTTTATGGCATCTGACTCTACAGGTAAATCTCAGGTCTGTGACTAAATTGCTGTGCTTGGTATCATAGTATTGTGTCATAACCATTTCACACATGTGAATGCTACTTTTTAAAAATTAGGGTTGCACCTTTCCTTTGAAGATTGCTGATAAAGTTTTGGAATGTTATATTCCCAGCTCTGTTTTTCCTTGAGTTCTGTAACTTTCGGGCAGTAGAGGTGTACAGCTTTGCATAGTATGCTGTTAGAGAAGAGATGACTCTATGAGTTAATTACATTTTTTTGTGTTGTTACTGAGGCTTGAACTCAGGGTCTTGAGCTCTCACTTAGCTTTTTTGCTCAAGGCTGATGCTCTAACATTAGAGCCACAACTTCACATCTATCCTTTTGCTGGCCATTTGGAGATAGGAGTCTCTCCAATTTATATCTGGGCTGGCCTTGCATCACAGCCCTCAGATCTGACCCTCTAGAGTAGCTAGGATTACAGGTGTGAGCCACTGGTACCTGGCTGAATTAAACTTTAATAAGACTGTGAGATGGAGGTGTGGTTCAGAGGCAGAGTGCTTGCCTTAGATTTGTCAGTCCCTGTATTGGATCACTAGTACCACAAAAATTCACTTCCTCAGTTCTACTGGCCACATTTCAGCTCATCAGTACTTGTTGTAAGCATACAATTTACCACAGAAATGGAACAACTTCATTAGCAAAAGTTTTTATTGCACAGCCCTGCCTGATGTGTTTACTTTGAAAGGTCAGATAAAGGATGAACTTATATGGAGCTCACTCTTTTTATTTGGTGCACTGGGGTTTGAACTCAGAGTCTCATGTTGGCTAGGTAGGCACTCTGCTACTTGAACCATGTTTTGGCAGTGCTGACATTTTAAACTCAGGGCCTCACACTTGCTAGGCAGGTGCTCTACCACTTGTCTTCCAGCTAGAACTCACTCTGGATTTTTTCTCAGTACCCTGTTAGGACTTTGTTTAATCCTGGGTTCTTTATCTACTGAGACCATGACCTACAAATGTTTCTAGGAAATGGAAATGTGGGGTTTTTGTTTTTGTTGTTGTCCGTAGTGGTGGTGATTGTTTTTGCTTTTGTTTTCTTTTTAGCTGGGCAAAAAGGAGAACAGAATGGGAGGAATGAAGGGTGAACAAATGCAATCATGCTATTCAGTATCTACTATGTGGAAAATGAACTATTTAACTTGTGGCAGGGATGGGAGGGAGGAGGAGAGGGGGAGCTGACCAAAGTAAAGAAAGGCTGATGTCCAAAAAGAAATGTACTCTGTACCAAACCTTAATGAAAACAATAAAGTTACATTGAAAAATAAAAGCAGAGAAAAATAGAGGAAGAAAAGAAATGATTGCAATTAAAATATTTTGTTTGCTTTCCATTTTTAAGGGAACACTACAAAAGTCATTTTCTCATTGTTTATATTCTTTTACAGGTGAAGTTTGAAGCTCAAAAGAAAATTTTACAAAGACTATAGTTTGACCTACAAATGCTCAATGGTGTCAATGGCACAGTAACCAGACTCCAATCAAAGGGTCTCTGTTGTTTTCTACATCCTATTATATCCTCTGTAAGCCCTCACCTCCCTATTCCTTATTTATTAAGGCCCTTTAATGGCTAATGATGCTATCCATTATTTCCTGTTTCCTTGCTAGGAATCGGGCCTATGCTAGGTGATTCTCATGCACCATTGTCTCATTGTACAATTTACAATAACCCAGAACCATAGGTACTCTCATTTTATAGATGAAAACATTAAGGCTCAGAGAGAACAAAGAATTTTCCCAGGACATATATTTGGAAAATGCCAAAGCTGAGACTGGTATTCTTCACATCTGTCATAAATGTAACCAGGGAGTTCTTGTGTGTGGTATGTGCTCAGTGTATATTTAGATAGCCAATGTAGTACTTCAGTGATTTTATTCAAGGCTAGCTGATGTAGTGACATCACCTTATCAAGCTCTACAGTACCATCTCCATAGAAAAAGTCTATGCTTCTGAAGCTTCAGAGATGCAGAATTTAATGTATGACAGAGGTGGTCAAACTATAGTCCTTAGACCCATTTGTCCTGCTGCTTGATTTTGTAAATGAAGTTTTACTAGAACACAGTGAAGCTCATCTGTTTATATATAGCATTTTGTTCGCACTACAGTAGCAGAGTTGAGTGGTGGTGTCAAGGAACACATGGCTAGCCCACAAAGCCTAAACTGTTCTCTATCCCCTGATAGAATAAGTTTGCTGACTCCTGCTTTATGGCAAGTTTGAAACTCCTTTCTACCATAGAGTGTTCTTTTTTATTTTTCTGGTCCTGGGGCTTGAACTCAGGGCCTGGGTGCTGAGCTTCTTTTGCTTAAACCTAGCTCTCTACCACTTGAGTCACAGTGACACTTTCATCTTTTTCTGAGTAGTTTGTTAGAGATAAGAATCTCAAGGACTTTCTTGCCCTGGCTGGGTTTGAACCATGATTCTCAGATCTCAGCCTCCCGAGTAGCTTGGTTTAGAGGCGTGTGCTACTAACACCTGGATAGAGTGTCCTTTTATTTGGCTGCAGACATTCACATATGCAGACCTTCTAGGGAAAAATCTTTGTCCTCATCTAGACAACATTCCTGATTTCCTTATTGTTTTCCTCATTTTGTTTAACCTCTTATCCCCTTCTTGTCTTTCTGCTCTCTCTAGCCTGTCATTAATGGCCACCTTTTCTGTTAACTGAGGCCCAGATGGTAATCCGAAGACTGGGATACTACGTGGGAACTTGGAAAGGTCAGCTGAAAGCTATAACTAGTTGATATAAAAACACAAGGAGGGGAAGGGAAGAGTGTAGGAAAAGTGTCAGTAGGCTTGGGCATAAAAGTCCATGAGACTCTTACCTCCAATTAACTAGCAAAAAACTAGAAGTGGAGTTGTGGCTCAAGTAGAAGAGCTCCAACAGTGAGCAAGTAAGCTGAGCAAGTTCCAGAATTCAAGCTCCAATACTAGCACACAAAATAAGCTGTTTTCTTAAATGTGACTGTTAGCTAGCCCTGCTGCTGTCATGTCATCACCAATGTCACTATTCTCCTCCTTTATGCTGCTGTCCATACTGGGAGATTGCGCTTTTTGTTGTAGTCAAATCTATTTTCACATCCTCATGCCCCTAAAAACTAGAACTTTCTGTGATAAATCTGCCTTAAGAGGATTGGAAAGAAGACTGTATACTAGTGAAAGAAATCATGGTTGCGGGGCTGGGAAGGTAGCTCAGTGGTAGAGCGCTTGCCTTGCATGCCTGAGGCCCTGGGTTCGATTCCTCAGCACCACATAAGCAGAAAAAAAAAAGCCTGAAGTGGTGCTATGGCTCAAGTGGTAGAGTGCTAGCCTTGAGCTGAAGAGCTGAGGGACAATGCCCAGGCCCAGAATTTAGGCCCCACGACTGGACCCCCCCCCAAAAAAAAAAGAAATCATGGTTGCATTTCTCTGAGACTTAATTCCAGTATCCATTCCTAGATTCCATTCCTGAGCTTTCTATCTGCCCATTTTCCATAAATCCACTTGAAACACTATCATTTTATATTAGTCACACTGTTTAATATCCATATGCTTTAAACTACAGTTCATTAGGGCAGACATTTGGCTTTTCCCTTTGTGTGGTGAATTAAATGAGTATATGATGTCAGTGTTCTATTATTCAGTAATAGCAAAACAAAGCCCATTATATTTTATTTCCCGCTTTAAAAATCTGGGCTGAATGCAGATGTTTCATATGGCACATTTGTGATATGAGAGAAAATACTGAGGACTAGCTCCATTAAGAAGTAGCTGTTTAATAGATAAACCAGGAAAGGATTAGGTTTTCTCTGAAAAATGGCTCCCCGTTCAACCAGACACTTTGTCTCTTTATATCTACATATAACTCTGAAGGAGAGAATTTGGGTTGCCAGATAATTTCTTTTAAATCACATTTTAGAATGAAAAACTTATAAATTATATTGTTTTCTTTCTTAGATGGGAACATTGTGTGTGTGTGTGTACGGTCTAACCATCTGAAAAATATCCCTGAGAAACATGATCAAGTGGCTCAGGTAAGATATAATGAGGGCTGGATGAAGATGGCCTGAGGCATTACAGTTTTGAACAACATTGTTCCTGACATTTTAATATTTGACCTGTATCAATTACTGAAAGCGTACCTATTTGTCTTTGTTTGTGTGTGTGTGTGTGTGTGTGTGTGTGTGTGTGTGTGTGTGTGTGTGGTATTGTGGATTGAAACCAGGGCCTTGTACTTGCTAAAAATGTACTCTACCACGTGAGCTATGCCAGCCACCTAAAAACTTGCCCCCTAATGTGGACAGATATTGCCAGCGCGTCATGCCAGAGAAAAGGAAGAGAAGGAGGCAGAACTATATCCGTTATTGGAAATGTCAGATGTGCAAGGTCTTTAATAACAGTAAAGTATTAGGAAAGAAACACTGCTGAGAAACTATAGCAACTATCAGGTATTTGAAGCATTTAGAAGGCTATGTTTGGAGCAGAACAAAATTGAAAACTCCCATGAGAGATGTAGGTATGCTGGTAAGATGTGCGTCAGAAGTGACCTCTGAGACACTTTTATATCCCTCTGATTCATGGGTACATTTGATTGAGTGCTACTGTGTCAGGCACTATGCTAGTTGGTAGGGCCTGCAAGGTGACTCATCTGGGCAGTAGATGTGGTGCCTGCTCTTATAGAACTTAACCACAGTGGAAAGCCAAAGCCTAGATAGTGAGAATTGAAAAAGACTCCAATCTAGCTGTTTTGATCCCTGTTAATTCTTTTTTGTGTGTGTGACTGTGCCTGAGTTTTTTTTTTTTTTGCTCAAGAGTAGCACTCTTGAGCCCAGCTCCACTCTTGGCTTTTTCTGCCCAGGTTGGCTTTGAACCATGATCCTCAGATCTCAGCCTTCTGAGTAGCTAGAATTATAGGCATGAGCCACTGGTACCCGGCTTCTTAGGGTCTTAAAAGCTTTTGTGAATAAAACAGAAACACTAAATTATTTTTTTTCAGTTGTGGGTCTTGAACTGTGGGCCTAGGCTCTGTCCCTCAGCTCTTCAGTGCAAGGTAAGCACTCTACCACTTGAGCCACAGTGCCACTTCTGGTTTTCTGGTAGTTAATTGGAGATAAGTGTCTCATGGACTTTCCTACCTGGGCTGGCTTCAAACCAAAATCCTCAGCTCTCAGCCTCCTAAGTAGCTAGGACTACAGGTGTGGCCCACTGGTGCTGGGTGATCTTGTACAAGTTGAAAGTTGACTTCTGTTTTTTTGTATGTTAGCTCTGGGATTTGAACTCAGGGTCTCACTCTCTTCACTTGTCTTTTCCCTCACAGCGCTGGCACTTGAGTCACACCTCTACTCTTGGCTTTTTTTGTTGGTTAATTGGAGGTAAAAGTCTCATGGACTCTTACTGTCCAAGCTGGCTTCAAACATCGGTCCTCAGATCCCAGCCTCTTGAGTGTCTAGGATTTTAGGAATGAGTCACCAGCATGTAATTACTGGCCTCTATTTTGCCAAATCCAAAAAGAAACTTTTGACCCTAGTTTGCATTTTCTTTTGTTTTCTGCTTGTTAGCTTGTTCTTTTCCTCCTGAAACATTGCTTTTGATATCTGAAACTATTCCCTGATAGTTTTCTTTTTTAGAAAAAATGTATTTTATTGTTATTATAAATGTGATGTACAAAGGGATTACAATTACATGAATCTGGTAATGAGAACATTTCCTTTCTTACAGTGTCTTCCTTTCCCCCACTCTCTCCTATTCCCCCCCCCCCCATTTCCACCCAGGAGATGTATAGTTCACTTTCATTACAGTGTCCAGTGAGCTCCACTGCTGCACCTTTTCATCCTTTTTTCTTCCCCTGATGGTTTTCTTCCTATCATGTTGCTACATCCTGGTCTTTTTCCTGGGATCTATTGTACTATTGTACTTCTATTTGCATTGTGATTGCTAGGCAGGTGCTCTAGTGCTGAGCCATGCCCCCAGCTCCTCTGTATAATAACATGAGCTGGCCTGAACCATGATGCAGTGCTTTAAAGGGTCCAACAAAGTTGCTGGAGTTAGCCATCCTAGCCTACTAGCCCGCCTACAAAGCTTTGGTCCTGACAGTGTTGCTTCTTCACAGTCTTAGGTCCTTTTTGTTCCTTCTTGATTTATACCTTTATTTGGCTAGAGTACAACCCATTAGCTTTCTGAGGAAGAGTGCCTTGGAGGTAAATTTTTAGTCTCTTTTTTTCTTCTTGAGAAAGGACTGAGTTTTCTAGATTTAAATTTCCTGGTTTGACTTGATTTGCTTTTATAAATTTGAAGACAGTATTTATTTCATTGTGATTTGGCTGTTGGATGTATGAATCTACATGCTACTTTAAGTTCTGGTTGTTTGTAATATGTTCTCCTTTTTTTATTCCAGAAGTTTTTAGGGTGTCAGTCTTTATCTCTGAAACTTCTTTATCCCAGGGGTCTTTTAATTCATTGTAGTGGGCATGTGGTAGGGCTTGTCTATCTGGAAACTAATGCTTTTAAATATGGGAAAATTTTCTAACATGTAATTTTTTCATAACCCACCCTCTATTCCATTTTCTATGTTCTCTCTGTGCCTCTTACTGTTTAGATCTTGGATTTAATGGATTGCTTTTATAATCTACTCATTCCTCCCTCCTATTTTGAATATCATTGCTTTTTTTGTTTTACTTTTTATATTTGTGTGTATGTGTGTGTGTGTGTGTGTGTGTGTGTCTGCTGTACAGGGTATTGGATTCAGGGCCCTGCACATGCCTGTCCATTAAGCCACCACCACCCAGCCCTTTTGATTTTAGTTTTTCAGATAGGATCTTATACTTTTTACCCAGGCTGGCCTCAAATTGTATCTTTGCCTCACAAGTATCTTTATTGATGTGTTCTATTACTCTGTAATTTTCAAAACCCTTTCCTTTTTTTGTTCCTATTATATACCATCCAGTTTCTTTTTTGTTTGTTTGTTAGACATAATTCTTTTACAGGAAGATGAAAGAGTGTAACTTCTATACTGAATAGGCCTGTAAATACTTGATCCATTTCCTTGGAAGTTGATATTGCCTTTTCCATTAGCATCAGGAACTCATTGCCTTATTTACTTGGATATTGTTCAAATCTTCCTGAGAAGAGTCAGTTACTAAGAGTTGCTTAAACATCCACTTTTTCAGGTGATAGAACATTAAGGTTCACAATAACAGTGCCACCATTGTGCTTCCATGTATTCACAGCGTCCCCCTTCCTAGAATAGCTAGCTATCAGCCATGAGAGAAGGGCTCTTGTTTGCCCAGCTTTGGCAAAGAGATATTACCTGTGGGGGGGCACAAAATACTCCTCCACGACACGTTGGGAGTTTTGTAGTAGTTCTTCAGCACAATTGCCTTCCGCTACATTGTCTGATCTCAAGTATAGACATCTGTCCTCCAGTACCAACTCCATGGGCTCCACCCCGTCGGTGTCGACCCCATGAAGCCGGTCAGCGAAGGCGATGGCTTTCTCCAGCTGTTCCACGGCTGCCGAAGTCCACCAGCGCCAGTCGTTCCAGGTGCTCCATCACCTCGGCTGTGACCCGACATCCCTGAGGAGCCTCCCGCGAGGTGAAGAGCCGCCAGCTTGGGATAGCAGGAAGGCCCATCCAATTTCTTTTAGTAATATATTACCAGTATCTATGTCTTTATCTATTTGTTCTTTTTCCTTGTACTTGGAATTTTCTAGATTTTTTAAGGATTTTTTTTCTGGTGGTGGGGCTTAAACAGAGCCTGGGGCACTCTCCCTGAGCCTCTTCGTGGTCTTGACTACTCGAGCCTCAGCAGCACTTCTGGCTTTTTTAAAGTAGTTTTTTGGAGATAAAAGTCTTACTGACTTTTCTGCCTGGGCTGGCTTTGAACAGATCCATAGATCTCAGCCTTCTGAGTAGCTAAGATTAAGGGTGTGAGCCACCAGTGCCTAGCCAGTAGGGTTTATTTTTGTTTTGTTTTGCTTTGTTTGTTGTTTTGGGCATTGTCTTTCCTTGTGAAGGCTTTAATCAAGTTGCTGATAATATTTAAGAATATTTAACTCACTCTTAATTAAGAGTGCATTAGTATAGGGAAGCTGCTCATACCAAAGAATTACAGGCCTCCAAATGTGGGCAGTACCAAGGGTGAGAAACGCTGGTGTAAAAAATTAAAGGAAGCTGGGTGCAGGTGGCTCATGCCTGTAATCCTAGCTACTCAGAAGGCTGAGATCAGAGGATTGTAGCTCAAAGCAAGCCCAGGAGGGAAATTCTGTGAAACTCTCTCCAGTAAACTACTCAGAAAAAACTGGTAGTGACTGTGACTGGAAGGACAATGCTTGGGCCTTGAGTATAAGCCCCAGGACTGGCAGAAAAAAAGGAAAAAAGAAAAAAGAAAAAAAGAATTAAAGGAAGTGAGTATGTTAACCATATAAAAGGTTAATGAGATTGTAGGAAAAAGAACTGCCCTGGCAAAACTCTATGGGACTGTAACTGGCTTTCTGGTGGAATGAAAGAAGGCTCAGGGGAATGTTGAGAAGAGACGTGTGTTAATAAAGGGCAGATCTTAGTGACTCAGAGGTCATTGTTGGGACTTGAACTTTTATTTTGAGTGAAATGGGGAACCATTAGAGATTTTAGTTAGGGTTCTCATAGGATTAGGTTTTTAGTCAGATCACTCAGGTTTTAATTTTCATTTGTCAGTTGTGGGGCTTGAATTCAGGGCCTGGGCACTGTCCTTGAGCTTTTGTGCTCATGGCTAGTGCTCTACCACTTTGAGCCACAGTTCCATTAACCAATTGGAGATGAGTCTTACAAACTTTCCTGCTTGGGTTGGCTTCAAACTGCAGTCCTCAGGACTCAGACTCCTGGATAGCCAGGATTACAGGCATTGAGCTACCAACATCGGCTTTCTCAGATTGTAATGTTGAAAATGGAATATTGAAGGAGGGAGGTTGAAGCTGACAGAGCAGTTAGGAGGCAATTACAGTAATCCAGGTGAGTGATGATATAGACCAGTGGTAGCAGTGAGGAATATCTTGAAGG